ATAGCTAGAAAAAAAAAAAAGGACGGACATGCATGTAAAAACAAAACACTCTACTGTCCGCTCGAATCAAGAAAAAAAAAAAATATATATATATATATATATCCTCCCATAAGAACCTTTTACTTGAAGGATTACCATATGATTTATGTCACATTCAAATAAGAATAATTAATTGCAAGAGTAGTAGCTCCTCAAAAACTAGCATATCCCCTTGAATCTCTTGGTTTTTATTGAGTAAAGAAACAACAAAAAAGGAATGGTAGTTTGGTGATTAACAATTTCACGTGTTTCTGTATGGAGGTGCGGTTGCCGCGCTAAGAGGTTATGATCCATTTATGCTTTTAGATTTTGAAAATTTGATCGTATTTTTATTTTATTATTTTCGTAAGTAAACTGGATATGCCAAATTCTCCTCATGGATCGGATTAAAAAATTGAGGACTCAGTTTGATAATTGCTTTGATTTACACTTTCTGAAATGTTTTTAAGATTTACAATTTTTGGAAACAATTGTTTTTTTTTTCGATTTCAACTTTTCTTTCTAAACATAAATAAAAACATTTTTATTACTCCTGTCTTACAAAATGCACAATACTCTCTCTCGTGGAAAAGATAACAGCGCAATCTTCCTTTCACACAATCTACGCTCCGATTGATTCTCCCACAGTTGGATTTGCTTAGCTGCGTGCTTTAACTGCGGCGGATATCTATGAAAATTATGCGTCTCCTGTGGCTGACTCTCTGCCCTTGTGAAAGCCTCGCTGTTTCGTCATTTTTCCCATGTTCATAGATGATTTATTACTTTCCATGGAAACTCGTCCTCTTTTCTGTGAGGAATCAGGTATTGACCGCTACTCCATTGGGCAGTGAGTCCTGTTAGGAGTTGGTTCACTCCATTTCTACTCCACATCCATATTTAGAAACCATATTTACTCTTACTCCCGCCCTTGTAATAGCAACAAAATGGAAGAAATTGTTTCCGCCGAGTTTTCATTATTCTCTGAGCCCTTGTAATACTTGTTCGGTTAGGTGATCGATGAAAGGTTTTGCAATTTTGATGGTTCAGATATGGGTCTTGTGCTGGTCTGTGAAGGCTGAATCGGGTACAGGAGCCTCTGCACGTACTCATAAGGCCTTGTTACACGTACGACCGAAGACAGGGCTTCCCTACGACGGGAATGTGCCGTCAAATATGACGGTGATTAAGATTGCAGCAATGCGGGTGAGGAGTGGTAGCTTAAGAAGTAGAGGCGTGAGCAGGTACAAGGAGTTTGTTTGTGAAGCCATATGTGCAGAGGGTTGCTTTAGTTTACCAGAATTTGGGCAATTGGTCGCAACACTATTACCCCTTGGCCTTGCCTATGCCTGGTTACACATACCTGGCTCCGGTGTTGGGTCTTCTAGCCTACAATGCTTCCCAATTATCTGCCTCCTCCCATCAAAATTTCTGGGGAGCCCATATTGATCGACTTCTGTTATGTTATTATATAGATACAGGAGTGTTTTGTGTTGTTGCGCGTCCTCCCTTAGGCAAGGCAAAGTGTTTCAATTTCAAATATTGCCCTTTCCCTCACACTGGGTGGGAACAAACTACAACGAAAAAGAAGAATAACGGTAGCCGTTTGAAAGTTGAAACCAAAACGCTCCGATGGGATGTGGAAAAACTATTATCAAATTCAAATGGCCCTTGGTTTACCATCTTGCTGCTGTTACTTACGGATAATTTTGCTTTGTTTTGTACAAGTGGAAGTTGATATGAGAATAAATGAGGAAGCGGAGAATCCTCAAATTTCAAATTCCAGTAGTTTACTGCAGAAAAGGCCAGTAAGCATGGAGATCGGAAAAATGATAATTGAGTAAAAGAAGCAGAAAAAATGTGGGGAGCAGCCTAAGCATTTCTCGTATAACCATTCGCATTCTGCTCTGCTTTCCCGTCTTTACAACAAATAACATGTACGTCCAAATTGAAGCGAATGAGATTTTTAGTGAAATTTAACACTACTATTGGTATTGGGCCATTCATCACAGCGCAGGCCCATTTTTCCATTCTGGTTTGTCCAACTCTCATTATCTGCATGCCCAACACGTGTCTCCAACATAAACTTCGATTTTTCACCCAGTTGGATTCACAGTAAAAGTAAAAGTGGTCACTCCCAAGTCCTTGCTCTTGTTCCTACTCTAATTCCCAGTAAATCATAATAATAAAACTCAAATCCATGCCAAAAAATTGGGAAATCTTTTACCACCTTAATTTTAGCTTCCTTAGAAAGATGCGCCTGTTTGCCCGACACCCTCCACTCCACCTCTTCCCAGTCGTTTTTTTCTGATTTTTTCCTCTTTTAATTATTTCGTTCTACTTTTGTCTCTTACAATTTTGTCTCATAAACGGTGAATACACAACACAACACTACAACTACATTGCGTTGGTAAAATTTATCAAAAGAATTTCCCCTTCCTTTCTGCAAAATTCTCACTCACGACAGTCCCCTAGCAGCTCCTCTCTTTCTCTCTCTCTTTCTTTTTCTTTTCCCTTTACTGGCGCTTCTGTCCTCCTTTTTCTTCCGCATCAACAACACCTGAAAACTCTTTATCTTCCTATTCTTTTGTTGGTTCAGATTCCGAATAATTAAAGAAAGAAAGAAAGAAAGAAAGAAAAGCCCCAAGTAATGTCAGGTTTGTATAATCCCAACTTCTCTCCTGCAAGAGCTGCTTCTCCCCAGATTAGAAGCAGCGCTGATGCTGACAGGTATCCATCCCAGATTCATTCTTTCATTCTAAGCTCCCAAAATAAAAGCAGATGCGATGAATTTTTCATCCCCCTCAACTTACTTTCTGCCCATGTGATTGTATTGAGTTCATCTTGTTCTTCTGATCTGTGTGGGGGTTTTGTTTTTTAGCCAGTACCTGTCGGAGCTGTTGGCTGAGCATCAGAAACTCGGACCCTTCATGCAAATCCTTCCTATTTGTAGCCGACTATTAAATCAAGGTGTTGCTTTCTTTTTCTCTGCTTTCACAATTTTCTCCTGTCTCTGGTACTCCATTCGCTCACCGCAACTATACATGCCTATTTAGATCGCGTTTATTAGTTTCACTACCCAACTTTAGCCACTGCTTCCTTATAACTTCATAACACCACTTCTTTTTATTTCATAATGCATATATCATTTTTGCACCAGATTTTTCCATCTTCAATTTTCCTACCTTTGGACTACATAAGGATGAGATAGTTGCCATTTGTAGGATTGTCTGCCTTTTAAATCCAGTGACTATTAACCTATATATAATCTGAGTTTTATATTTGAGGGCTATTTTAACCACATTACTGCTAACTTACATGCCCACCTCATGAGGAATGCTCTACTTAGTTATCTCAAAGTCAAAACGCATTTTCTGTTTACCACACATAATGAAATTTATAGATTCTATTGATTGGAAACTTTTAAACTATTCTTAAGCCATTACTCTGCTTAAGTTGTTAGCTGTTCATAGAGTAGCTTTTGGATACTATTTCACATTTCAATTATATTAGTTGTTACTTGTTAGTCATTATGAACTTGCTTTAATTAAAAACTTACAAGTTGTAAGTCAAAATCTTATTTCTAGAGAGCTTAATTGACACTAATTTGCCTTTTTGTAAACTGTTCAGGCATAACCATGCTCTCGAGCAAAAAAAAAGAAATTATGGTCATGAAAATCCATTAATAGTGTGTGTGTGTGTTTGTTTGTTTGTTTGGTTTTTGAGAAGAATGATAATGCAAGAACAATGACATTTAGAAAGAGAATCCTGAAACAAGGAGCCACAAATTATGGAAAGAGGCTTCAATTGTTAAGAATTAACAGATAATTTCAAAAAATATTGTGAAGCCTGAGGCATTAAATTGAATCAAAATCTAAATTGATTAGACTATCAGAAATAGTGGGAATATTATTAGGAATGTTAACAGTAGTATATTTGTTACTATGCCTGAGTTGATGACTGTAAATAATGTAAGTTAAGGATTTAGAGTAGTTAGAATTTTGGGTATTAGTTTTGTGGGAGAAAGATAAGCTATAACCAATGTAATCTCTATGTTATTGCAATATGATTTTATTCTTACTATCTTATTTCAAATATCAAGATTGGGTTCCCATCAATCTCCTCCCAAGAAACTTTTACATCCTCAAAAAAGATCCTATTCCTTTCTAGTCTAATATTCTAAATAATAGCCAAGAGACTAGCTTGCCAATAAAATCTCTCTCTACCATGGGATAATCAGTGCAGAAGGACTCCTCTAACACATATCATTAGTTAAGCTATCCTAATAGTCCATTTTATTTTGGGTGAGTTTAATACCATAAATACTTGATGTTGTTTGTCGGGGTCCAGACCCTAGAGCGGGTGCGGGTGCCCCCGGATATAGGGGAGTAAAGTTTCGACTCCTGGTTATAAAAAAAAAAAAAAGTCCATTGCATTTCAAAAATTCAAATTTGCAGCAATGCTTGTCAATTAATTTATCCACAATCACATCCAAAATTATTTAAAATCAATATGTAAAAATTTGTTACTCCAAATGCAGCCAATCACTAATCTCTCTCTCTCTCTCTCTTTTTTCTTTCAAAAATTTTTGTCTAGGAATATGAAAGTTCAAGATTTGGCATAAAAATTGGGGCTGGAACTTCACATGAAAATGAAGATGTAAAAAATAGAAAAGAAAGGACTAAGACATTTATGGAATGGAAGTCCATTTACCCGTGTCCTATTGCCTATGATAAGAAAAAGACATAAAAATTAATGAAGTATGAGACATGTTGTGCTGCCCAATGCTTCAGACCTTTGAGGCATTTAATTATCTTACATAAAAATCTAACTAAATATTCAGAAGTCTACGTAGTCAGTAATACAATCAAGTCTATGCTAAATCAATGAAGAACAAACCTGGTATCCATTTTTTACTCTGCTAATCCATGTCCATTACTTCTTCACATTCTAAACTACAGAACTCGGGGTTTGTTTCCCATGTGACAAGTTCCTTTATGTGCAGAGATTTTGCGGGTTTCTGGAATGATGTCCAACCAAGGTTTTAGTGACTTCGAGAGACTACGACATAGAAGCCCTAGTCCAATGGCTTCTTCTAACCTTGTGTCAAATATTTCTGGCACAGGTTTTGGCGGCTGGAATGGACTTCCTCAGGAGGTAAAATTTTTCAGACGATTTATCTAGGAGTTCTCAATTGAGAATCTGTAAGATTCATTTGAACGGATCATTGATCAGAAAATTCGTATATTGCTCCAACTTAAAAATTACCTACGAGCATACAATGCTTAATAGTTTCTTAAATTTTAAAGTTCTAACACTTACTTATTAGATGGTTGGATCAGAGAATTTCGAGTTCTGGAAATTTCTGCAATGATGTGGTGTGCTTTACCTTTTTTGTTGTCACTTTATTTCACCAAGCTGCACGCTGAAGTGGTTGTAATTTCTACATAAAGCAGGAATGAACTTGTATATGCATCTGTCTAGCCTGCAGTTTGGTAGAGTTTACTTCTATGCTCTCAGAGTAGTTTTAAATAATTGGTTTTAAGAACTATGATCAAGTTGCTATAAATATTATAGTTATCATGAAATTATTACTAGCTTTTGATGTTCTAAGGAAGAATAATTGTTGTTGTTCTAAAAATAGGGCACACGTGAGAAACAACCTTTAAAGAACAGTTAGCTGAATATGCTTTCACTAAATTTTTGTTTAAAAAAAAGACAATTTTTATAAACAACTCCTGAACAGCTCCTTCATTTTTTGTTTGTTTTCCAATTCTTGGTATCTTCAGCGATTAGACATGCAAGTTTTGTAGGAAGTAGATTTCATTACTTCTGGACCTACAATAAAATGGAAAATGGTTGTGGGAGCTGAAAGGGATATCTCCACTTCTTGTTTGCATTATTTTCGAGCAGTATCACTGCTTAAATCTATGAATTGTATTTTAAACCTGATAGCATTCTGCCATTACTCTTTCTTAAAAGGAAAGTCAGTTATTAATAACCATGCAAATATGCTAGACAGTTTCCATTTTTGTTCAATTTTGAGGAGCTCACAAACATGGCAGAATAGTATCCTAACACAATATCTTATAAAAAAAAAAAAAAAGTATCCCAACACAATAAACAAATCAGTAGTATCATTGCAAACTGCAACAGGTTTCACAGTGATGTTGGGAAATTGAGGAACTTGTACTTTTTTTATTCTTTTGAGTGGCATAATTTTTATGCAGTATGCAAATCATTTCTCTCCCTCTCTCTCCCTGTGTCTAAATCAGAAACAATTGATTTGTTCTTAACATGGAAAATTTTCCTTGAGGGGGAGAACAAGGAAGTAGAAACTTCCATCTTCTCTTATACATTTATCTTGACTTGTAGGCCTTCTAGAATTTTTCCTAGTGTGATTTGGGATGCCTGAAATTGAATTTTGAAATTTTTAGGCCTGGGACAAAATCTTCTTTTCCAAAATCAACTTTGAATACCAATGCTACTTGTTTTTCTTTTCACAGCCAAGATTAAGTGGAAGTTCTGGAATGACAATGGACTGGCAAGGTGCTCCTGCAAGCCCTAGTTCATTTACTGTAAAGAGGATTCTGCGATTGGAAATTCCAGTGGAGACATATCCAAATGTAAGTTCTATAAAAGAGTTTTCCTGTACTTTAAAAAAAATTATTATTGTTATTTTTAACTCTTATTGGAATCTGAATTATTTTAAAACTTCTCCTTGCTCCTTTCTTGAATGCTAGTTCAATTTTGTTGGGCGGCTCCTCGGACCTAGAGGCAATTCTCTGAAACGGGTAGAAGCTACCACAGGATGTCGTGTGTATATAAGAGGGAAGGGATCAATTAAAGATCCAGAAAAGGTACCTTAGGTGAAATTGCTTGGATGAGACGCTTGTGAAAATTGATCTCTCTAAGTGACCATTTAAACTTTTACCATATGATGCCTCGTATTGTGTTTCACAGTAGTATCTGCTAATGTTTAATGTTGAGTTGTCTGGTTATCTATTTATCTACGACTGTTTTGAACTCTCAAGGAAGAGAAACTCCGTGGAAGACTTGGTTATGAACATCTGAACGAACCGCTCCATGTCCTAATTGAGGCTGATTTACCAGCCAATATCATTGACATCAGGCTGAGACAGGCACAAGAAATTATAGAAGAACTACTCAAACCTGTGGTACTGTTTACTTTCTGATCGAGTATAATTTGAGTTTATCGTAGTGAAAGATGAAAGACGGTTCGTCTGTTAGTAGGGGTAGGGGACATGTTAAATTAAAAAGGAAAAGAAAATAAAACATTTTTCTCTACTTGTTTAGAAGCACCTTTCGATTGCTGTGGTTTCTTGCATCTAAAATGTTTACCATCACATGTACGCAGGATGAACCAAATGACTACATCAAAAGACAACAATTGCGTGAATTAGCAATGCTGAATTCAAATTTCAGAGAAGAGAGTCCTGGTCCCAGCGGCAGTGTCTCTCCTTTCAACTCGAGCGGGATGAAACGCGCAAAAACTGGTCGCTGAGAGCTCACATTACTCTGTCCAATACATTTTTCCTCTCTATTATGCAAATTGATCACTGAAATTCCTGCCAGCAGGTCAGGATTCAGTAACTGGCATAACTACAAAAATGGATGGTCAATATTCTTTCTTTCTTTTTTCCTTTTTCCTTTTTTTTTGTTTTAGTTTATTTATTATTTATTTTTAAACAACAGAAAGTTAAGAAATGTCTTTCTTTCTTTCTTTTTTTTTTTTCTTTTTTTTTCCCATTGAGAGAGAAGGGCGTAGTGAGTAAAGATTATTTCGTTTTGATTGGGGGGTTGCTATATGGCGAGTTCGTTCGGTCTTATAAATTGAATATAATTATTGGATTTATTCTTGTGTTGGTGACTTTTGAGAAGTGTGTAATATTCATTAAAGACAAGCATTAGGCTGGAGACAGTAGGTGTTGTTTGAGAGACATATATACTATTGTTTCTTAGATTCTATGTTCTGTTCAATATATATATGTAAATATATTCGTTTCTTATAAGCGGCATCCACCGGCAGCATTTAATCATTGAATATAGAAGTTTGAACTTTGTCCGAGAAAGCATTAACTGTGATTGATTTTTAAGAATCGGTGTATTGTATTGCATCCCAATTCCCAATTCCCATAGCGAGATGATTAAGTGAGTGAAGTCCCGATAATCCAAGACAATCCTGATTGTGTTGTGGTTGTCGTGTAATGACCTCCGAATAAACCGACAAACAGAACTCAACTGATCCCATTGTCGGTCGGAAATGGCTAGCTTATGGCTATTGCTTTGCTATGAAAATGCTCTTCCATAATCACAAGCAGCATTGGCATGCGCTGCCGCTGCGCCATGGAATTTATTGGGATCGGAGATTTTGACCTTTTCCTTTCGAATTTTCAGTTTTCTTGAAAATTATAAGGTGGTGGTTGTGGTTGAGTAGCCAATCAAACGAGGGATCCTCAACCTCATCCAGCACATTGCCTCTCCAATGCTAATAAATAATTACGTCTTTATTCTTTATTGAGTTCCGCGCCAATGTCAGTCCACGCGGGAGATGCATCCCATTGCTTTGACTAAACTTTTGCGCTCATCCTGGTCCCTTACCAGTTACCACCTCCTCCGACACATGTACCTATTAGGCGGTTAGGGCCCAGCTGAATCTGCAGCTTTAAGACTAAAGCTTACAACCTTGATTTAATTGAAATTAAGAAACGGCACCTTGCCACAGTGTCAAAAAGAGCAAATTAAAATTGAAATGTTTCTTACAAAGACGAGCAAACAAACAACAACAGGCCTGTCAATTGTCATTGCCATAGTAGAGACACGGCAATGGGGGGAAAGTAAAGATATATGTAAGAAAGGCTGGTTTGGGTTTGGGGGATGAAAAAAGGCTGTTGAGCCATGTGTTATGTAAATACTAAATTCTAAATAGACAGGCATCGGCAGGGCAATTACGGAAATTGGTGTGTCACCTTCATCCGTCATTCCCTCCTCCAAATTACAGCTACTCACGGCTGAAGCTCAAACAACATGGTATTGATGTCCGAGACATCCTTCGATGCTTGTTCTAAGCTCATCTCCACTCCCAAACTCAGCAACTCTTTCACCACCCGGTATCTCTCTTTCTCATCTCTGTCCTTAGCTTTTCTTTGCATGCGATTGCGAGGACAAGGCATGTCTCTTTCTCCTCTTTCCTGCTCTAAAATTTAGTCTGTCAGTCTCCACTAGTGAAAATAATTTAGATCGTCTCCTCCGGTTTATTGGTTAAAAGGAGTGATCTTCGAGCAACTAGAAACAAATTTGTGAAAAACAAGAGGGAAAACAACACAACATTGTCGGGCTAACCCCAAAAATTTGCTTGCTTTGCATTCCCTCGCCCCCCGTGGAACATCGCCTGTCTTATACCCTAATATTTGCCTTCCAACACTCTACTCTCTAGTAGTCTTCTTTTGTGATCTACTGCCCTGCTTTTCCTTAAACTATGCTTAATTTGTTCAAGTTGCTTAAGCAAAACCTTCTGTTATCTTTCCAGTATCTTCTCTGACGTTGCTGGCGACATTACAATTGCCGTTGATGGAGAATCATTTCTACTGCATAAGGTAATTAAACTCTCTTTTCAATTTTGCCAACCTGAAATAGCTCAACTAGTTAAGTTTCAATTTCAATTTCATGTAATGTGTTTGTGTGTGCCTTCACTCAAACTTTTCCTGCATATTTTGGTGAACCTGTGGCTCTTTTCAAATTTGGTTTCTCCTTGTTGAATATTGACCGAAATGACATAAGATGACTCTGATTTGTTTTAAAACTAACAACATAATTCAGTTGTGCAATACAAGCGTTTTAAGTCTCAGTTTTCTTTATCTTCAAGTTTCCACTTGTGGCTAGAAGTGGAAAGATTCGAAAAATGGTTGCGGATGCTAAGGACTGCAATGCTTCGAAATTGGAGCTCCTTAGCTTACCAGGCGGCCCTCAGGCATTCGAACTTGCTGTGAAATTCTGTTATGGAATGAATTTTGAGATCACGACAGCAAATGTGGCCCATCTGCGTTGCGTGGGAGAATACCTGGAAATGACGGAAGAGTATCGCGAAGATAATCTGATTGCACGGACAGAGATTTACCTGAATGAGATTGTGGGAAATAATCTGGAAAAATCAGTGCAAGTTTTGGTGTCCTGTGACTGTGACTGTGAGGCTCTGAGTTGTGTGGCTGAGCAAGTAGGAATAAGAGATGCTTGTGTGGAGGCGATTGCCATGAATGCTTGCAAGGAGCAACTGGTGTCGGGTCTGTCTAGATTAGATTATGTTAGTGATTCTCCAGAGCTCAAGTGCGCTACTGCGGAGTGGTGGATTGAAGATCTGTCATCCCTACGGATTGATTCTTATCGAAGGGTCATTTGCGCCATGGCAAGAAAAGGCATTCGACCAGACACCATTGTAGCATCTCTTATGCATTATGCTCAGGCATCGTTAGAGGCCACATCAACATCATCAAGTTCAAGACTAAAACTATCTCCTCTTGGGCTACAAGATTTAACTTACCAAATTACTATAGTGGAGAGCTTAGTAAGTCTAATGCCCACAGACAAAAGCTGTATCGTTCCACTTAGTTTTCTGTTTGGGATGTTGAGGATGGCCATCATGATGGACACTAACATTGCCTGTAGGCTTGAGCTTGAGAGGAGGATTGCCTTTCGCTTGGAAATGGTTTCACTTGATGATCTCCTCATACCATCAGCCCGAGTTGGGGATATGTTATTTGACGTCGACACTGTTCACCGCATGATACTTAATTTTTTGCAGCGGGTAGAGGAAGAAGAAAATGAAAGTGAAGACTGTGGATATGAATCTGATCAGGGCCTTGGTTCTCCAAGCCATGGTTGTTTATTAAAAGTTGGTAGACTTATTGATGCATATCTAGCTGAAATTGCTCCGGATCCTTATTTGAGCTTGCACAAGTTTGTTGCTATGATTGAGGTACTGCCTGATTATGCACGTGTCATCGACGATGGGCTTTACAGGGCAGTTGACATTTATTTGAAGGTAAGAAAAAGCATATTTTTCAACATTGATGCTCAACTTTAGAGTAGCAGTTGTTTATTGTAAATGATGTGTAATATTGTTCACATTCAGGCCCACCCAAAGCTAACAGAAGAGGAGTGCAGAAAACTGTGCCAGTTGATAGACTGCGAGAAACTATCTCAAGAAGCAAGCAACCATGCTGCAAGAAATGAGCGGCTACCTGTGAATATGACGGTGCGGATTCTCTACTTGGAGCAGCTGCGTTTGAAGAATTCAATATCGGGAAATACAGGAGATGGATTGCTGTCACAGAGAATGAGTAGTGGAGTAGCAAGTGCAGCAATGTCACCTCGAGATAATTATGCTTCTCTAAGGAGAGAGAACAGAGAATTAAAGCTTGAGATATCTCGCATGCGTGTGAGGCTAAGTGAGTTGGAGAAGGAGCAATCGTTTATGAAACAGGGGATGATGTGTAAGAGCGGAAACGGAACAACTTTCCTGACTTCACTGTCAAAAGGAATTGGAAGGATTGGAATTTTCAGCAATAGCAGCCCAGGAGAAGGGAAGCGGAGAAAGGCTGGACGGAAAAAGTGCAGATCATCAGCTGGTCTACTGTAGTATACAAGTTAGAGTAGAGCATGTGGCGGTCACGTGGTAGGCAAATTTAATTTGACAATATAATATGTATATGAAGAATCAAGTGGGAAATAGAAGCCCTGAGATTCCCACAGGGTGTCTCAGAAATACTTTAAATCCCATCTCCATCAATCGCCCAAACAGATCCCTGACGGCCACAACGGCAGGGCATGATTCTTCTTGATGATGATATGGCGCAAAGTCAGACCGCGCGCCCCAAGTGGAGTCCTACAAGTGGGAACAGAGTCGGAGGCCACATCCTAATTCCTATCGATCAAAATGTGCTGTATTCCACCTGTTCGTTTCTCCTGTAAGATAGAATCATGGACGCTTTATGAAAGTGGGCACCAAATTCCGTCCGGTTCATTGAATTAGAAACGACATTTTGGAACACTATTAAAAAGAATTGGGGAAAACAGGCAGTTTGAAAACTATTTAGGAAATAAGACCAGTATTTTTGTCCATATTCTTATGTGACCCATGCTTCTCAGCTGAAAGCCAGGTGGAATAGGGATTTGCTTACAAACAAAATACAACTAGTAATGGTTCGTTATGTGTCTGTATGTGAAACCAAGTGTGAATCGCTAATTATATTGGTAATTCGTGTTGTCATTCAACATTCATGCCTAAATCTTATCCACGTAAGCACAGATACAGCTATTACGAATGAGGGGGAGGATTTTGAAACCCTAGCCCATTCAAATTTTGAAGGTTTGGCACGCAGTCGCAGCACATAAGACTAAGTAACGACTACTGAGAGCCTTGTAGTCGTGGGCTTTCTTCTTTTATAGACGAAATAATGAGAGCCTCTCCTCACTCCTCACTCCTCTCCCCTCTCCGTTTGGAGTTGAAACGCCCAAAAAAGCTCCATCACTTGCTCAATCTCATTGTCTTTGTAGTGAGAGAGAAATGAAAAAGTGGGGAAGTGTAAGTTTCATTCAATGATGCTACATATTTATACACACTCTAAATCTAAAAATAGACTCAACTAATTCCACATAAGAGGCAACTACCCCACTAGCCATAAGAATAGCAACCTACTTAGTTGACTTGACTATAACAAAAAATAATCCTAACAACTTCCTAGAAACTAGGACTTAGACTAGACAAATTCAAAAACTAAAAAAATTAAACTTGCAATTTGAGTTAACTTACATTCTCCTCCTAACTCAAATACTACAAACACCCAACTTGCTCCTAAGAGCTTGAAAACGACCCACACTAAAAGACTTAGTGAAGATATCTGCTATTTGCTCCTCTGAGTTGCAATGCATCAACTGAACTTCTCCTTCCTTCTGCATCTCTCTAAGAACATAATACTTGATCTTAAAGTGCTTGGTTCTTCCATGAAAAATCGGATTCAATGAAATAGCTAGAGTGGCTTGATTATCCACAAACACCTTCACACTATCTTCTTGCTTTAGATGCAAGTCACGCATCAACTTCTTCAACCAAACAGCTTGGTTGACCACTGCTGTTGCTGCAATGAACTCAGCTTCTGCAGCTGACTGAGCCACTATATCTTGTTTTTTTTAACACCATGAGAAACACCCTGAGCCAAAAGTGAAACAACAGTCAGAGGTGTTCATTATATCGTCTAATGACCCAGCCCAATCACTATCTGAATAACTCTGCAACTCAAAATTTTCAACTTTACTATATTTGATCCCAAAAGACAGTGTGCCTTTAAGATATCTCAAAACACTCTTTCCAGCAACCATATGATTCTTGCTTGCACAATGAAGAAATCTAGATAAGACACTTACAGTGTACATGATGTCAGGCCTAGTGGATGTGAGATACATGAGACATCCAACTAGACTTATGTACACATTCTCGTCTGCAGGTTCCTCTCCATCATCCTTTTGCAACTTCTCCTTCTGAATCATCGGAGTGTTCACACTCTTACACTCCTTCATATTGAACCTCTTCAATATCTCTCTCATGTACTTCTTCTGGCAGAGAAACACTTCATTTTGCCCTTGCTGAATCTCCATGCCAAGGAAGTAATGCATCAAACCTAGATCGGTCATCTCGAACACCTTCATCATTTCTTGCTTGAACACCTCTACCTGATTATTATCACTTCCTGTCATCAGCAAGTCATCTACATAAAGAGATACAATCACAATAGTAGTACCTGATTTCTTCACATAGAGTGTGGATTCACTCAAACTCTTCACAAAACCCAAGCTCAGCAAGTGATCATCCATCTTGTTATACCATGCATTAGGAGCTTGCTTCAACCTATAGAGAGCCTTCTTCAGTAAATAAACCTTCTGCTCTTGTCCTGGTGTGATGAACCCGTCTAGTTGCTCAACATAGATCTCTTCTTCTAACATTCCATTTAGGAATACTGACTTCACATCTAGTTGATACACCTTCCATCCATCCTAAGCTGACACAGCCAGTAGCATCCTGATTGTGTCCATTCTTGCAATCGGTGCAAAAGTCAGAGAAATCAACTCCCCAGACTTGCATACCCTTTCACTACTAACCTGGCCTTGAGCTTGTTCACAGAGCCATTTGGATTTAATTTAGTCTTGAAAACCTATTTAACTTCAATCACCTTTCTGTCAGTAGGCTTCTCCACTAGCTCCCATGTCTTGTTCTTCTCTATCATTCTCAACTCATCCTTCATTGCCTCCATCCACTTTTGATCTTTTTGAGCTTTTTCAAACCCTGCAGGCTCCAACACAGCTACGCTGCTTCTTTCATACACCTCAGTCAGTAGTCTAGTCCCTTTCACTGGTGCATCATCAACTAGTTCATCAGCTTCCAGAGAGACTTCTTGTTGCTTCACCTCTGCTTCTTCTGTCCAGTCTCACTTCTCATCCTCTAAAAATTGAACATCTCTACTAATCACCATTTTCTTTGTGTGAGGTTGATAGATCTTGTAGGCTTTGGACCTGTGGAACATGATTCCTGGTTCTGCCTTCTCACTCAACTTGTCTTTCTTCACCTGTGGAACATGAAGAAAACACAAACAATCGAACACCTTCAAATTTGTCAGTTTTGGTTTAGTATCAAACCAAGCTTCATAGGGGGTCTTCTTTTCCAAGACCCTTATAGGTAGTCTATTCAATATAAAGACTGTTGTGTTTGCTGCTTCAGCCAAAAACTCCTTTGACAAAGTCTTCTCATGCAATAAGTATCTTATCATCTCCATAATACACATGTTCTTCCTTTCACTAACTCTATTTTGTTGTGGAGAATATGAAGCAGTGAGTTGATGTTCTATCCCAACTTCTTCACAGAAGGAATTAAACCCTTGTTATATATATTCAGTCACATTGTCGGTTCTCACCACTTGAATCTTACAGCACTTTGATTCTCAACCCATCTTTTAAACTTTAGAAACACTCCAGCTGCTTCATGAAATATATCCAACACATCCGAGTATAATCATCAATAAAGATAATGAAATACCTGCTATCATTCAGTGAAAGAGTTGGTTGAGGTCCACACAAATCAGTGTGGATGAGCTGTAGCTTCTCAGTTGCTTTCCAAACTGACTTCTTGAATGGCAATCTTGTTTTCTTCTCTGTCAGACAAGCTCTGCAGTTTGTTTTCAGCTCCTCCAGAACTGGTACTCCTATTGCCATCTCATTTTCTACAAATACTGCAACCCCTTCTAATGAAAATGCCACAACCTCTTGTGCCATAACTCAATGTCATTCACTTGACACTTGAAAGCTATTTGCTCCTTCTCGAATGGATCTAATGAAAAGCTTTTGTGCTGCATCTTTATTTTGAACAACTCATTCCCACTGGAATCAGAAATGAGGCACTTCCCATTTTCAAACAACACTTTAAATCCCTTATCTACTAGTTGACCAACACTTAACAGGTTTGATCAATCTCAGGAACAAACAACACTACACTAATCAACTTGGTTCCAGCACAGCTCTCTATTGACACTGTGCCCTTCCCTTTCACTTCTAGATACTCACCATTTCCTATCTTCACCCTTGACTTGAATGACTTGTCAAGATCCTTGAACAACTCTTTGTCACTTGTCATATGATTGGTACACCTACTATCRACCAACCAACCATCACATTGATTGGCTGATGAGAAACAGGTAGCCACAAATAGTTGATCTTCTTCTTGTTGTACTACAGCATGTGCTCCTCCTTGTTGTTGAGTCTTGGAACCTTTACAAAATCGATCAATGTGCCCTTCCCTTTCAGAGGCTGGAGAAGGCCAGATGTGAAGTGTGGATGGTTGTGCTTCCCGCAGTGCTTGCATGCACTACCAACATCCTTTGCAGCAGATTTTGACCTACTGCTGCGACTCGCCTTCTTCCCTTTTCACTTTTTCTCTCTTCCACCTTCTCCCTACTACATTCTAGCTTTCAGTACCCCCTCAATGCTTCCTTCTTGCCTCATCAACCTCCTCTACTCTTGTGCTTGCAAAACACTAACAACTTCTATCACTTTGAGTTTGGAGAGGTCTTTAGTATTCTCTAAGGAAGCTATGGTTGCTTCATATCTCTCAGGTACTGAAACCAGAATCTTCTGAACCAATCTATTGTCAGATAGATCAGTTCCTAATGCTCTTGCCTTGTTAGCAATCTCGATCAACTTGTCTGAGTACTCTTTGATGGACTCAGAATCCTTCATCTGCATTCTCTCGACTTCTCTCACCAAGTTCAACACCTTCATGCCTTTAATCCTCTCATCACCTTCATACTCACTTTTGAGGAACTCCCAGATCTCCTTTGCTGACTTCAAGGCCATAATTCTGTGAATATGGCGGGAGACACAGTTGCATATAGGCAAGCTCGAGCCTTTGTCTTCCTAGTTATCATCTCATTGTGAGTCTTGATCTGATGCATTGTTGGATTATCAGGAAGTTGAGCAATTTCATAATCGTGCTCAATTGCTTCCCAATAAATCACAACCCTCTATGTAGGCTTGTATTCTGATTGTCCATGCATGATAGTTTTCACCATCAAACACAGGTGGAGGCAGTGAAGAAAGATTGTTTGATCCTAACTCCAACTCTCACAGGTATATCACTTAGTTTCTCTCGGGAATATTTCACTAATCCTCACTCACAGACGATCCCTTACCACTGTAGTTCTCATTATTGAGAGAGAAATGAGAAAGTGGGGAAGTATAAGTTTCATTCAATGATGCTATATATTTATAAACACTCTAAGTCTAAAAATAGACCCAACTAATTCTACGTAACAGGCAACTTGCAATTTGATTTAACTTACAGCCTTCCACATACACACTCGACCGCTGCAGATCTTTCTAACTGCGTATCGGCAACAAATGTCTTCGAAACGATGCTCCGGGAGGTGTGTTTTCGGCGCATGTAACGAAACTTGCAGCGTCACTTGATGAACGAGAATGCCGAGGTCTGATCTTGACGCGCATTGCATAGGACTTGGACTCCATCCACGTCTTGTCAGTACTCTACTCCGAGGATCGCCTTTGAATCCTCTCCCTACTCTGTTTCTTTGGTTATTTATGCCTAAACGATGCCTGTTAAATTTACTGTCACGAATATCTAGTGGAATTCTTGGAAATTTTCGATTCAGCTTGTGCTTGGGTTTGGAAATGGAATAATACAGTCGTTTGCGCGTATTGTATCGTATTCTAATCATCTAACTCATTTTATTAATGTCTGGTATTTAAATTCTCAATCTACTCCACAGAAGAGTAGAGGCTGGGAGGAAAACTGATATTCCGAGTGTAAACCTTGACAAAAGTGATGAAGCATGGTTTGGCCAACCGGAACATGATGCACGTCAATGATACTCGCCTATATACGATTGCACTAAACGACGAAGCCTGAAATTCAAAGAGTCTTACATTCTTTTTCTTATTCTTTGAAGTCCTCTTCATAAGTGTGCTTCCTGCTTTCAGTTGGCGTACCTGTTTTTATTTTTATTCTCTATTCAGATTTTTTTTTCTAATCCATTTTGTTTAGGCAAGCTTACACTCAGATGCCACTTAAGGGGAAATTTGGGAGGTTTTCGGCGGATCAGCCAAAACAAAACAGAAAATGGAGATCGAAGACCTGTATATTCATCAATAGGGGTAAGCTTGATAGTGCTGGGTAACCCTTTAGCTATGACCCTATGAATGAATATTATCATTAGCCCATTGCACCATGGATAATGGACTTAATTTCATCCCATTGTCGTGATTAGTGCCGTTTTTAGTAGACATTTATGGTCCAAACTAAAATAGAGAGAGGTAAAATCTATGAACCTGCATGCATGATACTATTTCACTGACCACAAATTTGTTATGTCCGCATAGAAGTTGAAACATATTCTTTGTAGATATTAGCCTTTTTATACATGAACTCAATTGAAATCATAATTTGTTCTATGGAGATCATTAAGTCACAAGAAGGAAGAAATCGAAAGGGAAAAGCTTCTACCAATTCGAGTAATTGGTGCGGCTAATTTTCCTTTTTTAGGATGATCAGGCTTCTTGTGTTTGCCTTCAGTGGGGATGAAGTATCTTAACTAACCTTAGCTTCAAGAAGTAGCTCTTAGATAGGTCTGCTTCTACCATAAAAGCTTCAAAATTTTGTTACTGTGCTGTCTCAATCCAATCGAGTTCTTCATTAACGAAACGGAATATGGTTCTTATAATTCAGTGTCTTCTTCAACAGCGAGAGCTTCGACATCCACGCCATCCTCCCACGAAATAGGATCTGTACAAACCTCATCATCAGCTCCTCTGTTGATAAAAACAGACAAATGCGAGCTCAAGGTCCTTGACTCCTAGTTCAAGGTCACACACCCGTGCAAACCTGTGTTTACCCCCAGCACTCAGCAGTACCCCCAGCCTTTCTCCATCTGCAGTGAACTTTCCTCCTACTTCTGCTTCAATCGTATCAATGCAGCTTGAGCTTGGTATTCACATGATTTTCCTCAACGTACGCATCAAAACCTTAGGACAACTAATTGGATTTCAGTGATTCTAAAAGATCATCTCTCAGAATTTTCACGAGCTTGTAATAAACATGATTGGATCAAGTTTAGACAGCGGAACATGCTAGTATTTAAAAGATGAATATTTTAACCAGTTTTATGTATTCTCATGATGCATCTGTGGCCTTCATAGGACACGAAACGGGAAAAGAAGCATTCGACCACTTTATTGTAAACACTCTATTCCCGCAGGGTATTCAATCGGCCTCTTCAAAACCCATACGTTAGTGCTTGGCAGTGCTTCAAGGTTTGCCGGGTTCAACGTGGACCTGCATATTGGAAACGGAATCAAACCGTATCCATAGACTTGCAGAATAGGTATGATGCTAAATTGAATTAATGAATGTTTACAAAAGTCCCCATTAGGTCAAAATGTTGCAAAAAGATAACTTAAAAATAGTTGATTTGGAGCTTTGAGTATACGCTCGAACCATCCGTTCCATCTCTGGGCTGTTCACTTCGGACCAATTCTTCAGCTTTTAGACTTACATTGCAGAGGAGTATGGTTCTATAACTTCCACCTTTAGATTTATAAAATTCGCCTGATAACATTTTCTGTTCGTAGGTTTGTTATTATTTGTTTTTAGTTTTTTATTTCTTAAAAACAGATATTTCAACCTATTTGATAATTATTTTGTTAGTTTTGAAAATAGAAAATAAAAACATATTTGATAATGTCTTTTGTTTTCTCAAAAATAACCAAATTTTGTTAAAGAGAAAAGTTATAGAGACGTTAGAAAAACTTTTTTAAAAAATTGAGGTAAAAAAAGTTGGAGAGATATAGATTTAAGTTAGATGGAAAGATGAATTATATGGAGAGAAGTTTTAGGGAGAGAAATTTTAGAAAGAGAAATTGGATTGTGAGATCAAAGAGGAGAGAGATGAAGAAAGATTGGTGAGAGGAGGGAAACATATGTTAGAGAAATGTTAAGAAAGAGAGAAATTTTAAAGAGAAAAATATTAGATATACTTTAAAAAAAGAAAAAAAAATGTTAGGAAATAAAAGTGAAATTTTATAAAACAAAGAAGAATCGGTTTTTAAAAACTTACAGTTTTTTTTTTCTTCTGAAATTCATTAACAATTTTTTTAAAAAAATTATAAATTAAAAATGGAATAAATTTGTCAAACTAATTTATCACAAATGGCAAAATGAAAAACAGAAACCACAATGGTTATTTTATGGCACTTACTTATGTTAAAATATTATTTTGACAATTATGCTCCCTTACTAAATTTATAAGGTCGGAAAGTTTATTTCTGTTGTTTATTTTATTTCTTAATTTGAAGTTGTAACTTCTTAAAATATTCTACTATTAAAAGTTTAATTTAATAAATTTCTTTTAAAATCTTCTCAATTTCTTGAAAATATTAATAATATCAAGTGTGTCAGTAATATACTACATATTAGGTAATATCAATTAAATAATATACATAATATGGAGTACGTCAAATATCAATAAAAAAAACATGTAATATTACTTAAACAAAAATCTTCAACAATGAAGAAAGAGTTATTATGCCTGATATTAAATAAATTATTCATATATTAGTATGATACGATATATTTTATGTAAGATATATTAGTAATATACTCTATTTTTTATATATTAGTGTTATATAACTTATATATTTAATATCAAATATATCGATGATACACTTCATTTGAGATATATCACTAATCTAATTAATATACCTATCATAAAGTATATAACTGATACATTTGAAATATCAATAAAAAAAACTATAATATTACTTGACCCAAAATTTCAAGCTGAAGAAAACTTATCAATAACATACTTAATATGAAGTAAGCCATTCATATATTTTGTGTTTTTTTTTTAATATCTGTGAGTATCTGAGTTAGTATGTACGCACCTCGATTAATCTCACAAAAAAACACTACAATATTTAGTATCGAAAAACATATAGAAATTACTAATTTCTATGGTAAATGGCCATCATGGTTCATATATTTTGTTATTGATATATACTTCATATCTAATAAATCAATTATATTAGTTATATGCTTTATATTTATACCAACTATATCAATAATATATTTCATATTCAATATATTAGGTAATATATAGTATATCAATGATATACTAAAATAAATATATCATTGATATAATTGATAATTATTACTTGCACCAAAATCTTTCACCTAGATATACCTAATTTAAAATATATCAGTCATATTATCAAGGACATCTATTATAGGGGCGAAATTGGAATGAGAAAAGAATGAAAAATCTAATGGTAAAAATTTTGACATTAGAAACAAAAAAGCAATGGCCACATTCAAATATGGCCAATGTTTTTGCTACCTGTTAAAAATACCCCTAATTAGATCTATATTGGTAGATACTTCTAGTAAATTGGCTATAGCATTTTTGCTTTCTTTAGCTTAAGTTTTTTAAAAGAGAGTAAGTATTACATCAAATATAAGATGGGATTTGTTAGCTTGAGTTATGTGAAGACGGAATCAAAAAATTTAAAAGAGGATGAAATGCCGGGTTTAGAAAATCGCACAGTATGTATCGGGGAGAGAGCCTATAAGAAAGGGCAGTGGCATAAGTGAAGTCACCAATCATCTTAAGCTTTTCTCTTTGTACCTGGTTGGCGGTGGCGGCTTTAATTTCTGTCTCGCGTGAAAACTGAACTCCATTATAAAAGAATGATAATTCCCGGATGAAGATATAATGGAATCGGCACACTAGGTTTTGGCAACCAAGTCAGCACCGCTAACGTATTTGGCCATGAATGAAATCAACCGATAAGGAGCCCCAATCAGAGGAGCATCTGACAGCAGTACATCCTTCTCATCACTCTCTGCAATATCTTCATTTTCATCCAAGGGAATTTGCACGATTTCTCCCGCTTCAATCGGTATTGAAGATGTTGGGGCCAATAAATCGTTGTCCAGCTCCACAATATTACTACCAATGCTATGGTTGTGGACTGAAATGGATTCTAACGCCTCCAACCTATTACCTGTATCCTGAATCTCGGGATAATCCAAAGTGGCTCCAGCCCTCTCCCCAGGCTCCATGGCAGAAGATAGCTCGGTCTTTGTAACTCTTTGAAGCTCAACAAATAACTCATTCACCTAACAATACCAAGGATGACATGACATTTTAACCTCAAACTCATAAGTAATGATTGTCAATCACAGCATAGATCGGTAGATCGACGGGTAAGCAACGTATTGTAATGACGTCAATCCGAAATGTAGTATAGGATATTATAGAAATGCTATTGCCTAAGAAGCACGGCTACGATGACACATTATTTTCTAAAAGTCTAGAACATGTTTATTAAAATATACAATTCTTTTAGGGAGAAAATTCAAAGTCAAAAAACTCCTGCATTTTTATGTTAAAAAAAAATGAGCTTACTCTCAATTTATTATTGTCCTATATTACTACTTAGGTCTATTTTTTATGCTTAACAAGTGTTTTATATTACTACTTAGGTCTATTTTTTATGCTTAACAAGTGTTTTATATTACTACTTGGGTCTATTTTTTATGCTTAACAAGTGTTTGATATGTGTCTAACAAGTGTTTAATCCATATTGTACAACTAGTGTGTGACACACATCATTTTTTTTAATAACTGATAGTCGGAGCTTTGCTCCCCTATATGTGACACACATCTATTAAGCTAACAAGTGTCCGGTAAGTGTTTCAATGTCCATTACGGACACGGGACACGTTACCCAAAATGAAGTGACCGTGCTTCTTAGACCATTACCTTCCCAATAAGCTCTGCATTTTCTGTAATCAATTTATCAACCAGAATACGAGCTGCATCCACTTGTGAACTCAACATCTCCTGCTCATCTCGTACACATTGACATGAGATATACGAAAAGTAATTAATACTTCTTGCAGAACTTGCAATCTTCTTTTAAGGGATTCTATTCAAAAATAAACTTGTGAATGTTCCACCATTTAATAGGTGAGATTAAGAAGTGRACCTTTGTGATATGGTCTGAAGAGTGAATGGAAGGAATTCTCCTCTCAAGATTCATAACTTTTGACTGATAATCAGTAACATTTTCCATCAGTTGTTTGTTTTCATGCAACAGATCACGTTTATGTTTTTCCAACTCCACAACCTGTCAGGCTTTGTTTTCAATTCCTCATCAGAACAAAAAGTAGCGTCTCATGTGAAGCTAATAAATCAAAGAATAGAACGTCTACAGTGAGTAAACAAATGGTCTTGGTTGATAAGTTTTCAATTAAAACAAGAACGTCCACCCAACCTTATTCAATATGTTACTAATTCTAATAATAAACATGGTGATTTCACAAGCAAAGTTGGTGGTTATTCGCACAACTAGAAAGCAAGGAACACTATGTTTCAGACATAACTCCTTTTATTTTCTTCAACAAGATCTAGACAATCGAAATCAACTTCAATCAACCAAAGAGAAAAAAATCATGTGTTTATGCAAAATTTATTTCTGGATTACTTAAGTTGATGAAGAGTATACCTGTGCCTGTAACCTAGAGATGTCATTGTTCTTATTTACTATCGTCTCCCTGCTTGAATTCTGTGGAAGACAAACCCACTTCAGTAACACTCGAAGAATATAACTCCCTTTCATTGACAGCACGCAAGGAGAGCTAGTATATCCAGAATAACATATGTAATCAAGCTAACTACCGTCCATAAACTTTTCCCTCTCCAACTAATAAAGAATTGAAAACTATCTGTAAAAGTTGCAAATTTAATTACCTACCCGATGAATTACTAATCTAACACCAATCATTTTGCATATAATAAACGAACTTAGAAGCGAGAGAAGACTTCGTACATAATCACCGGTCCAAGGCATCACTAGTTGGATAGAGAGATTGAAGAAAGAAACCTGGTGTCTGTGAGGAAGACCTATATCAAGACCTTTGGAGGTGGAGGGTTCGGGCATTGGGAACTTGAGGCGTAGGAATGGGGCTTAAGTTGGCCAGATGGTTGTGGCGATTTTTTAAAAACCCTAGTGCCTTGTGGTGAAAGATTATCGCGAGCTTATTAGATTTAATATGTCCTTGTGGGGTATGTTTCTAAGAAATTTTGTAATGATCAGTTACGTGTTTGTGTTAGGTGTTATTCTTTTGGATTTTTTTTTTAAATCCGTGTGTCCGAGCCAGCTTGCATGTACCTCGACTAATCAGGGCCCAATCGCGTGACCCTACTACATTTGGTTGACAAGGTAACTCGTAGGATATTAAATCCTACGTAGGTGGTCACCATGGTTTAAACTCATTCCCTCTAACCATCCGTTGTTATTCTTTTGGATTTGAGCCCCTTTCTCTAGGGAACGTCCCTCTATCGGGCTTTTTTTTTATGTTCTGGTATATTATTTCATTTCTCTTGGTGAAAGCTTGGTTTCTTATAGATCCTCCCTTTAATGATATGCTAATCTACAATAGGAATATGCTCAAGCAGTCCATGCACCTGGCTACTCTTTCCAGAATATTTAGGTTTAGGCTTTTCTATTTTATTTTTTTTTATGAGAAACAAATATTTCATTGATGAGATGAAATATGCAAAAAGATAGAACCTAAGGAGGGAGTTAAAATAAAGCTCTCCAATTCATCAATCTCAAGAAATGTTGTTTTTTAGTCACTACTCACTTGTACATCAATCTCAAGAAATGTTGTTTTGGTCAGGGGAGCTTAAAATATTTGGGCCGTGTGATCTCAGGTGAGGAAGTAAAAGGAGATCAAAATAAAATTTGGCGATGGTTTCTCTGCCTACACCTAAAACCATAAAATGTTTTCTTGCTGGCCTGTTTTTCCCATACCTTCATCTTTGTCTTATTTTTTGGGTTATGATTTACAACCTGCTGAAGTGCTTGGTGTGCATTCTTATCTTTCGAAGGATGGGACTCTGGACATTTTAATACGTTGGGAGGGTGTTTTGGCAGAGCTAATGCTACCTGGGAAGCCGCTTCTGCTATTTGTTCTCCTCACCTTGAGGACAAGGTGGCATCTCCCCTAATGCCCTGACAGGGTCGGGAATAGCTTTTGGGCTTCCCTATTATTTATTAACACATACCGGTTAAGGCTACCCACCTCTCGAAGGAGGATCTATAACCTTTAGGAGAAGGAGACTATTTCGGCCAGGTAATGATAGGCCCCAATAACAGAAGTGTATAGTTGTAAGCGTGGGAAGAGTGTGAGAGCTACGTAATATTTGTATTTAGTTGTGGTGGGGCCAGGGCATATTAGTTGGTTAAAGTAAGCTTTCTGTTAGGTGGGACATGGGGAGAGATAAAATCTGGAGATATTCTTTTGAGTAATTTTGTACTTCTTCTCTGAGTGGTGCAAGGAAGAGGCACTGAGCTCTCGAATCTTCCTTGATTTGTACCTTCTTGATTCATAAATAAACTATATTCTATCAAGTTCCTTGGGACAAAATGCTACTGGAAGTTTGTTAAAGCTATAGTATTGCTTGGCCTTTTAACTAAAAACTTGAGAAAGATTAGTTTGGGCGAAATCTACAAGCTGAAGAGGCTTTCCGAAGACTCAAAACATCAGAGATGGTCCCTAACTTAGCATTTAGCGCAACCTAAGTTTGACAAGGAGTTTGTAGTGGAAACTAGTGCTTTGGGTTATTGGGAAGTTGTTCTACTTATGCAGGAATATAGACCTACTGCGTGCTAAAGTTAGGTGTTACCGTCCCAAGCTAGACAGGTTTATGAATAACAAACTGATGACAATTGTGTTTTCTGTTCATAAATGGAAGCCCTAACTTTTTGGCTAAAAGCTCCGGATCATAACCGATCAAAGAGCTTCAAGCACTTTTTGGAATATAGATTACCGAGTGCAGAGCACCAACGTTGGTTGACCAAGCTTCTACATTTTGATTTGTGGGTTGTTGATGCTCTTTAGATTCCCTCATAATGTTAACCTTGCTTCAGCTATCATGGTCGTGGAGGAACATCTGTACACTATCAAAAAGCATATGGAGAATGGTTTTTCCTTTCTTCAATGAAAAAGGGCCATTGGTGAGGTGAACGATGCTTTCCCACGTTTTACAGTAAAACAGGGGCAAATGCAGTATAGGTCACTCGGCTAAGCTCAAAACTCTCGTGGACAGCAGCTACTTCGTACCGAGAAGACATGAGCAACTGTGATGTTTTGCTGGAGACAAAAGTACTTGGTTATGCCACCAGCAAGGTTGCTACAACCACTCCCCATTCTCAAAATGCCAAGGCATGACCAATAGGAGAGTATGTACTTATGCAGGACACAATCACCTGGGGGCTGGGAACCCTTTCAGTTGGGTAACAAAGCAATTCTCTGCCTTCCATCTTGAAGATAAGGTGAAATTTTGGGTAGGGCAGTATTGATAGGAATAGCAAACCACCAATTCACTTTACATGCAAACAGAGGAAAGCATGTGACTCGCAATCAAGGCCAGAGATGAGCAAGGAAATGAGTTGGTCCTAAAGGGTGGAAGGGTGCAGGAGTCATTTCATGTAATTTCTATTAGTAGCAGATTGAATGATAGTGATAGTTGCACGAATGGACAGAGTAAGTATAAGAATGGTGACATGAGGGCAAGTGAATTTTGTACTTTTCCTCATTATATTCAAGTATGAAAATTAAATTATGTACTCTACTAAAACTTGCATACTATCTCAACTAACTAACATATGGTCAACAATCTATTACCATCACCAACTTACTGAACACAGCTGTTAAGCAATATTAACCTCCCTTATAAGTCAGAGGTTTGAATCTCTACATTTGTAATGTTATATTCTAAAAAAAAATAATAATAAAAAATATATATATATGTTTGATAACGGGACACCTGCACCCGTCTCAAGGCATGTATATATATATATATATATATATATATATAACATAGATTTTTTAAAAAGATAATGAGTTGTCAATTTTTCAATGGTGGTAAGAATAAGATTTGGTTCTCACTCCTCGCCAAGTATTTTCCTTAAAGAACCATGTAGCTTTAAGAAACATATTTTTTCCTCCAATATAAGCAGGGTTATAAATGCAAAAGAGAATAATGCAACAACACATCAGTCTACCAATAATATATCGATTACCTCCTTAAGAATCAATGAATATTTATCTCTCTCTAGCTGCTCAATGGTCTGCAGTAACCTGGCCTTCATAATTAAAAACGAGGAGATTTAGTGATGCACCAATAACTTTTGGGCAACTAATAGAACAAATAATTGCGTGCATCCACCGAGAAACAAGCTGAAAATTGGTTATGATTAAATAGCCTGGCAAGGGGAGGAACTATGTAGCATAAGAAACTTACCCCTTCTAAACCCAAAGCAATCTTGTCCTCTTGAAACTTTCTAATTTTATCCTCTAACTCTGCCTGCAGATTATAAATAATTGAATCCCCTATCTCTAAAGAAATAATGATAGATGATACAAGGAACCAACAGATGCCTAAAAAATCAATATTGTAATGCAAAGTAAATTTTGTTCAAACACGACTAGTGTTTTAAAAAGCTCATCTAGACATTAACCTCCTTCAGGGCACCATATTGTTCCTCAATTTTCTTTTTCTTTTTCATATTTTTTTAAGAAATAAGCAGTGTTCAATAAAAGCCTATGTCTTTACAGAATCTATTAAAAAGCCCTCATTTCTTTAATTTTTAGTATCTAATTATTTTTTATACAATAGTTTTCCATAAATAAAATTTTTATTTTCCTATTACGCACTTTACAATTACAAAAAGACCTTTCTTTTCTTTCTTTTTCACTTTGCAAAGTCCTAGAAAGCTATAGCACTTCATTCTGTCTAATGCTTTAAAAACATTAAATACGACAACTTTAAATGATTAGATTGGTGCATTGCAAAAAGATGTTTTTAGAAAAAGCACCTCTTTTTTAAGCCATGAGTGTTTTTCACCATCAAATTCTACGAGCTTCAACTCCAGGTCAGCCTGCAAGAATATTTATTTAAAAATACACACCTCTAAAAGCAAAGATAAAAACAAGCTCATAGATCAGTTACTTGAATGTTTTTCAAAATTAGATTACCCCTTTTTGTTTGTGAAAACTGTTTTCCTCGTGTAAGTGCTTAATTGTATCCTCTAGCTTAGCCTGCAAAGAAATAACAAATGCATTATTAGGGGGAAAGTAAGCACACTATTTTCGTCAATGGAATTTTTGCAATGACGACGTCACCTTGGTATGTGCAAACAAAAAGTTCTCCTTCCTCAAATGTTCAATTGTCTCTTCTAAGATGGCCTACATAAACCAATTTAAGCGTAGTTCACTAATATTAGTAGCGAATTCAGATAACGTTGATTTTTTACATCTATTTATTTATTTATTTTGGTCTGTCGGGGACCATCGGTGAGACATAGTGAAGGGACATCAATTTATTTTTTTTGGGAGTTGCTTTCTAGCATTTGGTAAGATGGTATGCATAACATTCAAAGATAGAGCCGATTCATGTTTAAAAGATAAATGAATAAATAGAAGGGGCTCTACATGTTCATGTCATCCACTAAATCCAGCAACTAGCAATGAGCCGATGAATCAAACCACCCCCATCTTATAGATAGGCAAAACATGATTATTGAATTCAAAGACAAACATACATCTTTTATTTCACCGGTATGCTGATGTAATTGTGAATGATCTACCGCATCAGAAATTGAATTATGATCATTCTGTCCATTTCTCATGTGATTATCCTCCATAGAAGTCGATTCTGATACAGCTGTTTCATCTTCTGAGGTTCTAATCTGCTTGTTTTTCTTTTTCTTGTTTTTTCTCTTCTTCTTTTCATTTTCCATTCTCCGTTTAAATTAAAATCCGACAGATGCAACAAACTTAAGATCCAGAAAGGAGGAAATAAAAATTTTAGACTCTCTTCACTTTAGCTGAGAACAGAAAAGCAAGAAAAAGTAGTGCATATTAGTTGTTACCAACAAGATCCTTCAATTCTCATAAGAATTGATTCTCACAAGAATTGACAACTGGAGAAAGAGAAATTAAAGCACTACTGTTAACTTAGTAGCCATTTGATAATCAAAATGTAGGAATGAGAATAGTAAATTATTTTTAAAAAATAGAAACTAAGCCATCCAATTGAATAGCTTCTCCAAACCTAATGATATGGACACGTAAACCAAGCACTAGACCGAAATCTCAGGAAAAATAAATAACAAACAAGAAAACAAGAATAGACATACTGAAACAAGAAAGAGAGGAAGACTTATTAATTCGATTATCCTGGAAGTCTTACCAACAAGAACCTCCAATCCTTGTAAGAATTGACGAGTGGAGAAAGATAAATTCAAGCACTACTGTTGACTCTGCAGCAGTTTGATAATCAAAATGGTGGGAATGAGAAGAGTAAATGAGTTTGTTATTACATATCTGCATATACACTAAAAAAAAAAACTTTGCGACCTCTAAATTCAAATGAATGGCTTCTCCAAACCTGAACCATAATCATATGGCCACCTAGACCAAGCACTAAACCAGAATCTCAGGTTAAAAAAAATGAAAACAAACAAACAAGAAGAAACTTGACGAAAACAATAAATAGAGGAAGCCAGATGAATTCAGTTATCCTGGCATTGTCACCAACAAGAACCTTCAATCCCATACGTACTAACAAGAGGAGAAAGAGATATCAAAGCACTGCTGTTAACTTCGTGGCATTTTGATAATCAAAATGTAGGCATGATAAGAGTAATTGGGATAAAAGCAAAAAACTATGAGATCTCAAAACCCTAATGATAGCTTCTCCAAACCCGAACCATGGTTATACGGCCACCTAAACCAAGCACTAAACCAAAATTTCAAAAAACAAAACAAAACAACACAAAAATAAAAACAAAAAAGAACAAGAAAGAGAGGAACACATATTAATTCAGTTATCCTGTCATTATTGCCAACAATAACCTTCAATCCTCATAAGAAGTGACGAGTGGAGAAAGAGAAACTAAATCATTAGTGTTAACTCCGTAGCTGTTAATCAAATAGTCGAATGAGAAGAGTAGATGCATTGAAAAAGAAAACTAAGCGCCCTCGAAATCCAGATGAATAGCTTCTGCTAACTCGAACTGTAATGATATGACCAACTCAACCAAGCACTGGACCAAAACCTCGGGAAAACAAAAACAAGCAAACAAGCAGACAAGAAGACATAAAAGAGAGGAAGACAGATTAATTCAATTATCCCGGTCCTGGCATTGTTACCAACAAAAAAACCTTCAATCCTCATAAGAATCGACGAGTGGAGAAATATAAATTGAAGCAATACGGTCAACTCCGTAGCAGTTTAGTGATAAAGTGTAGGAATGAAAAGAGTAAATGAGTTGAAAAAAAAAAACTAAACGATCTCGAAATCCAAATTAATAGTTTCTTCAAAATCAAACCCGAGCCCTACTGAAACGGCCACCTAAACCAAACACTAAACCTGAATCTCAGAAAGAAAGACAAACACAAAGAAGGAAGAAGAAACTTACCGAAAACAAAAAGGAGGAAGACAGCGGCACAGCCTACTAGTATCTGAAACAACAGAGAATACGAATAAAGCGTTCTTCAGCGGATCGCCTGGAGACATTGTAATTTAAACATATCTGCAAGCCAAAAAAGTATAAAACAGAGCATAAATCTGAGGAAGAAATATGAGGGTAATCACCGACGGGAGGCCTCTTAATTTTCTCTCCCTTTTTGTTCTTCCGATTTACTTTTACCTTCACTGCGTGCCGGAGAACGAAAGAGTTAAAATGTTTGCACTGCTCGGATTGCGCGGGTTTCGCCTCGTTTTTCTCTAGAATGATAAATGGCTGTGATCGCTGATCCTCCAACAGCACCTGTTCGTTTCGTGAAAACAGTACGCGCTACGCGGATGATTTCTTTTTTTCCTTTTATAATAAGTTTAGGTTTGTCTAAAATGTCTCCAATCTTCCACTAAAATTATATATTTATACACTTTTTTGAAATCTAATAAATTATCGAGACACAAGATTGAAAATTAAATATATATAAGATAAATTTTTTCTCCATTCCCCTTTTAATTTCAATATTTTCATAGATATTTTGAGGATAATTTTATCTTTCAAATATAAATTTTTCTTTCTGCCACGCTCCCACGTCGCTTTCCCTTTTTTTTTTTATTTCTTTTAAAATATTTAATCTTCATCGTTACAAATTTTACTTTTCTCAAATTAATTCTCTTTCTAATAAACTCTTCATCTTAAAGGTTATAATATACAGAGTTAAAATAGGGATGATTTTGTGTCTTTATTTCTATGTTAAAAAGTTATAACTTATTTTGAATTATAACTAATAAGAAATTTCAAAAATTTCGTAACCTTTTATTTTCAACAACTATATAAAGAGTTTTTTCTTACTCTTTCTCCCAATTTTTTCTTCATCAAAAGTTGAGTTTCTTTTCTCTTTCGATATATTAATTTTCTCYTTTAGTCAATGTCTTATATTTTCTTATATTCAACTTTTTTAGTTATTTTTTTTTTCCAAACGACTCAATCAACTGGAAAAAAGGAAGGAAAAATGAGTGATATGATCGAATCACCTTGGATGGATCCACTCTGGGATGACACTTGATAACCGCGAGGTCTCTCTTAATGACCTCCTCCTTCGTAAGGTGATCATCGTGTGATGTAAATAGCCGGAGCAATCCATCGGAACATGACTGCGGTTGGCATTCCCGACAAGCTAGGACAAGGAATTGGACCGGAACTCGAACATGGCAAAGAACGGCTGTCCTGAATGCATCTCTATCTCTCACTATTTTTTTTTTTTGTCATTTTATTTTTCAATGACTCAAATAAGAAATTGAAACAAAGTTTTATTTACTTTATGTATTGTTATGTTTGGGAAAAAAAAGATGAAAAATCCATGAATATGTATTTTTTAGAAAAAAATTTTAAATAATTGAAGAGTAATACTTTTAATCACACTAACCGCATCAGTGGGTGATAAAAATTATTGAGACATTGTTTTATGAGATAAGCATTGAAAATACGAAAAAACTTGGTGAGGTAAACATTTAGAGATAAAAAAATCAAATTAAATTTTATATCTTTAAACATTGAAATAAAAACTATAAGATGCACGTGTTTCTTAATATTCTTTAGAATTTGGGAGATTTATTAGACACAAATCTATAAATTTAGATTCTAAATTTGTTATTTAACATTTTTTGTGAGGACTATCATTACTATTGCGTAAGTGACCGTCTCTGAAATAGAAAAAATTACTATGCTTAAAAAATTATTTGTCGGATAATATTACTCCACTTGAAAAAATTATTAGTCGGATAATATTACTCCACTTCAAAATTGTTAGTTTGTAAATAATAATTTGGAGTAAATAATTTTAAAATTTACTTCGTCATAGTCTTTAAATGGAAGCCTTAAAATATTTATAAAAACAAAATAACATAATACTATCATTTTTTTTTCAAAAGTAAATATATTAAACAAAAAAGTGGAGGATCGTACTCTCTTATCTAAGGATCACTAAAACAAATCTCAGTTAACATAAACATAATATCATAACTCAAACAGCAAGCTCACAAACAGCAGTTCATAGATCAGGTAATACAATAATAATAGATCTTATCCCCCAACGCACGTAGGAGGAAGGATGGTGATGGACCCACCGCACCTACATAAACTCAAACATTAAGCTCCCTCTACTTTATCATTATTGCATACCACCAACAAAAAGATCAAAATAAAAACTCTTAACTAGTATGAGACCCATCTCAAATTATTAGACTTACACATAAATGTGTAAACTGACTTTCTCATTTATTTTTGAAAGTACAATATTACTTAAATAGAGAATTTACAACTAAAATATATCAATAACATAAAGCATAACAAAATAACTAATTAGTTAGTTATTTACAATAATATTCCAATACCCCTTCAAGATGGACGGTATATATCAATAAGTCCCATCTTGGAAATAATAGAAGAAAAAGCAACAGAGGGTAGAGCTTTTGTGAAAACATCTACAAGTTGAGAGTGAGAACGTATGGGCATTAATTTGATGAAACCAGAAAGAATACGTTCACGAACAAAGTGACAATCTAACTCAATATGTTTAGTCCGCTCATGAAAACTCGGGTTAGATGCAATGTGTATGGCGACCTGATTATCACAGAACAATAAAGCTGGCTATTGAATTGGGATCTGCAACTCAGACAATAGACTCGTAAGCCATACAACTTCACAAGTAGTAACGGCCATGGCTCGATACTCAGCTTCAGCTGAAGAACGAGAAATGGTAGACTGCTTCTTAGCTTCCAATAGACCATGGACTCGCCTAAAAATATACAAAAGTCTGTTGTCGAACGCCAAGTATCAATACAAGAACCCCAGTCAGCATCACAAAAGGCACGTATTTGAAATGATGAAGAAGCAGATAAGAAGATGCCACGACCCGGAGACCCTTTCAGATAACGAAGCAAATTATAAACGGCATCAATATGAACCTTCCCAGGACGAGAAACAAACTGACTAAGCTTGTTCACAGCAAAAACAATATCAGGGCGAGATAAAGTATAAAAGTTTGCCAATAAGACAACGATATAGAGAGGTATCCCGAAGAAGTTCACCATCAGTAGTAGCTTGAAGACGAAGATTCGGATCAAGAGGGGCGGAAATAGGCTTACAACCAAGTAAGCCAGCATCTTCCAACATAGTCAAAGTATAATGTCGCTGAGAGAGACAAATTCCCTTAGAACTTCGAGCCAATTCAAGGTCTAAAAAATATTTCAAAGATCCCAAGTCTTTAAGCCTGAATTTGAGATTGAGAAGAGACTTAAGCTCATCAATAATGGAAGATGATGCACCAGTAACAATTATGTCGTCCATATAAACTAACAACGCCACAAATGATGCCCTCTGTCCCCTGGTAAATAAAGAGTAGTCGGCTTTGGACTGAGAAAACCCAAAAGACAAAAGGGCAGACGAAAACTTTGCAAACCATTGTCTAGAGGCCTGTTTAAATCCATAAATAGACTTTTTAAGGCAACACACAAGACGTTGCCCCAAAGAAACAATAGAAGTTGGAGGTTGATAGCCAAGAGGCAAATCCATATAAACTTCCTCAAAAAGATCGCCATGAAGAAAGACGTTATTTACATCTAACTGGACAAGAGACCACCCTTTGGAAACAGCAATGGTGAGAAGAACTTTGACTGTAACCATTTTGGAAATGGGTGAGAAAGTCTCTATAAAATC